TATGAAGTAAATAAATTATATAGACGATTTATGAATTTAATATTAAAGGGTATTGATATTTTATATACAATTCTTAGTCAATGTTCACCTCTTTTCAATTCAACTATTCTAACATTAAATCAGATACACAGATTTGGGTTTCTGTGAAATTAAAATTATTACTTTTAAGAAAAAGACACAAAATTCACTATATTCAAGTAATCCAAACAGCCTCAATTATTAATGAATTTTTCTAATTTATTTAGTATTTACACTGGTTCTAAAGCAAATACTGAGTTTTAATTTTTATTGTAAACGTTAGAGGATAATATTAAAAATGTGGTATAATCAAAATTATTTTTAGTTGATATTTATATTGATGATATTTGTTACTAAGTTTCGTTCATTATTATAGCAGTATTCTTTGTTAACCAATTGAAATACTATTATAATATTAAATGAGGAGCCAGATTAAGAAATATTCATCATATCATTAAATAAAATAAGCAATTTTATTTATCTTCTATAATAGAATCTCTTAACTTGATAAATAAAAAAGTATTGGATCATTTAAATTACAGATCTATTTTCTTATTAAAAAACTATTTTACTACTAACCTTTAGTAATATATAATTGGAGGAGTATTTATGACTCTGTTTTATGCTTACCAGAAAGAAGTGCAATAAAATCAAAAATTATATTTAACTAATTTTTGTCGCACTATATATAATTACTAATTGAGGTAATTGAAACTAAAAATCTTCATAAAATTTCATCTCAACTTTGAAATGATAAAAATTTAGATTGTCAAAATTTAAATTAATAATAGAGAGGAAATATTTTAGAAATATATATACAAAAAAAAAACAATAAAAATAATAGATATTTGATCTTTCAGAAGTTTATTGTTATTTAGTATGTTTTAATTCATTAGGCGAGGACATAAGACTTAAATGGATAGGTAGATTATTCGTATTATTTATCAACTTTTTTACGAATACCAATTAGGATTTAAAGAGCAGTTGGAAAAATGATATTAAATGAGAGATAAAAAGAACCAAAATTATTCTATCTTAATCCTAGAAGTCGAGCTTATAAAATAGACAACTTAAACAATACTGAAATAGAATTAGTAATACACTATTAGATTTTCTCAATAAATAAATTTGTAATAAAATTTTAATAAATTTCAATTAAATTTGCCCTTATATTCAAATTTATATATATATTGAAGTTATCTAATAGAAATTAAGAAGTATGTTATTCTAATTAATATAATAATGAATCATTATTGATTTTCCATGCCCCTTACTTTAAGACAAATAGTCTATGATCTTCAATAATTTTATTGGCAAGATTCAATCCAATGATCTTATTTGATCAAAGG